TTCTGTTTGGTCATTTTTTTCCTTCCCTCTGGTCCACTCCCTTGATATGAGTCCCAGTTTCCTTTCCATTACTATTGGTTTCCTGTGCATTTCCCTTCATTTCAATTAGTTTAGCCTTCATATGTTCCTCTAATTTGTGACTAAAATCCACCAGTTCTGCGAGCATCCTGATCACCAGTGTTTTGAACTGTGCATCTGAAAGTTTGGCTATTTCTTCATCACTTAGATTTATTGGCTCTGGGGCTCTGAGTTGTTCTTGAGCCATGTTTTGATCTGTTCGTGCCTGTTACGTATGAGGAGCCTTAATTGTTCACCAGGGCGGGGCCACCCAGGACGCTGGTTTGTGATGCTGTATGTGGGGGCGGGGTCAGAGAGGGAGCAATGGCGGTCCTCTCCTCTTGCCAGTCCGCCTCACCGCTTGCCCCTGCCTGTTTATCTGAGCGCAAATGTTCGAGCCTGACGCCCTGCGCTGGGGCCTGTGCGGTCTGTCTCAATGCACGTCTCTTCACTGGTTTATCTGTGCACAAATGCGCGACCACAGACATCCAGCTGCCGCACCTTCCCTTGGTCCACCCATAGCTACCCCACACCTTGGATCTGTGCCCTCAGCTGCTTGCACGCAGCCCCAGTCGGGGGATCTTTTTTGCCCAATCCGCTCTGCTGCTGGCTTTGCCCGCCTCATCGGTTTAGCTGAGCGTGTCGTTGTTTTCGGACTCCGTATTGTTTGATTTTCTGTGATTTGGTTGCGTTTATTGTTGTTAAAACTTTATTGTATTTAGATTTGGCTGTGCGAGGAAGCAAAGTGTTTCCACCTACGCCTCTATCTTGGCTGAAGTCCCTACTTTTTACTTCTTAATCCCATCCCTGTTTTCACTCATCCCCCAAACCCACTCCCACATGACAACCCATCAAAATGTTCTCTTTACCTATTCTACCTAGTCTATTCTGCTTGCTTACTTTGCAGTTGGTTTTATTTTTAAGGTTTTATGTATTTATTTTTAGAGAGAGGGGAAGGAAGAGAGGGAGAGAAACATCAGTTGGTGTCTGACATGCCCCCAACTGGGTACCTGCCATGCAACCCAGGTATGTGCCCTGAATGGGATATGAACCAGCAACACTGTGGTTCCTAGGCCAGCCTTCAATCCACGGAGCCACACCAGCAGGGGCTGCACTGTTGTTTCTTAACTTGTCTGTTGCCATGTTCTTGGCCCTCCAAACATGGGCTACATTTCACAGGCTCTTACAGGTTCTTTTAATCTAAAAATAAAGCCTTTCAAAGGAAATAGCAACACACACTTATTTTTTTTTAGAGAGAGGGGAAGGGAGGAAGAGAGTGAGAGAGATATTGATGTGAAAGAGAAACATCAATTGGCTGCCTCCTACGTGTCCCCAACCGGGGACCTGGCCCACAACCCAGGCATGTGCCTGATCAGCAATCACACTGTAACCCTTCAGTTTGCAGGCTGATGTTCAATCCACTCAGCCACACCAGCCAGGGCAACTTACATTTACTTGAAGATCAAAGAATAGCTTACTCAGGACACACCGATTCAGGCAGAAGCCCAAATAGTGTTCCAATTAGGAGACAAAGAGGAGGAGAGGAGGGGGAACAATTACGTCAATAGAAGGAAGGCATTTCTACTGGTGCAGGGAAGCTAACATAGTGACGTTAGTTCTAAACAATGTTTGTTTGTTTTTTTTTATTGATTATGCCATTACATTTGCTCTATTCCCCCCTCCATTCCCCTCCACCCTGCATACCCCTCCCCCACCATTTCCCCCTTTAGTTCATGAACACGTGTCTCAAATTCTTTAGATTCTGTATTTCCCCTACTATTCTTACCCTCCCCCTATCTATTTTCTATCTACTGTCTATGCTACTTATTTTCTGTACCTTCTCCCCCCTTCTCCTTCTCCCACTCTCCTGTTGCTAACCCTCCATGAGATCTTCATTTCTATGGTTCTGCTCCTGATCTAGCTGTCCTCTTAGTTTGCTTTTGTTTTAGGTGTGGTTGTTACTAACTGTGAGTTTGCTGTCCTTTCACTGTTCATATTTTGTATCTTCTTTTTCTTAGGTAAGTCCCTTTAACATTTCATATAATAAGGGCTTGGTGATGATGAACTCCTTGAATTTGGTCTTATCTGAGAAGCACTTTATCTGTCCTTCCATTCTAAATGAAAACTTTGCTGGGTAGAGCAATCTTGGTTGTAGGTCTTTGGATCTAAACAATGTTTTTAAGTTTCAGTCTTATAGCCATCTTCCAGAAGTCATAAGAGGTGTTTGTTATCTTTGGTAACATTTTTTTGGAACATAATATTACTTTAGAAAGGTTATTTTGCCAACTCTGTTTGAACTTTCCAATGTTTGAGGCATAAGACATGCAAGACAGTTAGTTCCTCTGGCATGTCAACCCAGGGTCCATTTTAATGTGGCTCTATCATTCATCTATCTATCATCCTTCTGTCTATGTAGACTGGTTGATGCTGCTAGGTCCTTATACTCTGCAGTGTCTGCTGATCACCCATTCCAAAGCACTTGACCATCCTTTTTCTTTTTTAAAGATTTTAATTACTTATTTATAGAGAGAGGGAGGGAGAGAGGGAGATAGATATTAATGTGTGTTGGGGACCGCCCTGCCTGGTTTCAGGACTTGTAAACTGTCTCCCATGTCTAAGACTCTGAGTGACCTCTGGAATGGGAGCCACTGAGGAGACAAAGGTTGTCTCTGGCAGCAGATGCTGCCCCTGATTTATCTCCCTGCCCCCAAAGTATGGTCGGATGGTCAGAGACAGATGAGACCCCTCAGAGGAGGGGCAACCTAGGCCAGACACCATGACTTGGGAGGCCATTATGGAAGTACTCGGGGGGGCTGCCACAAAGAGGAAGTGATGGACTCCCCGCACCCTCCTGGCTTTGACGAAGCCTGAGTCCCCATTTCTGTCTGGGAGAAGCGCTTCCTGGCTCTGATTCACTTAAGCCTAAAAACCTATGATGGAGAAGACAGAGCAAGCCTTGTGCTGGGAATGCTGGACTCCCTGGGTAATTAGGCCTGAGAAGGAACATGTGAAACCCTGTGAGACCTGCTTTGTTTAAGAATGCTTCTAGTTAGATAAGGGCCTGAGCAGAAAAAGAGTTTATGTTTCCAAAGTTCTGTAGCCTTCTAGCTGACAGGCCCTGATTTAGAATAAGCCCTCATGGTTCTTTGGACACCATCTACTGTTCACTGCTTAACAATGATTAATAAGCTATACCTGAACTCCTGTGCAAAAATCCCAATAAAAGCCTGACTAGGCAAGGGTCAGCACGCTCTCTCTCCCCGGTGAGAGAACTGCCCGGCCACTGCAGCAGCTCTCCCCCCTTGAGGGAGTAGCCTTGCTGGTCCTTTTCCTCCATAGGACTCAGTAGTCTGTGTGAATTTGTCTCATGTCTCATCCATGACGCTGCGGGCAGTGCTTGTCAGTGCACGAGTCAAATGTGTGGTTGCTACTCATGTGTTCCTAACTGGGAACCTGGCCCACAACCCAGGCAACTGCCCTGACTGGGAATTCAACCAGCGAACCTTTCCTTCTTAGGCCTACAATCAGTCCACTGAGCTACATCAGCCAGGGTGACCATCCTTTATATTGGATGATTTAATGCTTGTCCTTAAACTTCGTAAAATGCCATTGGCTAATTCTTTCCACAGTAACAATAGCTACAAGCTTTTGAAAATCATCTCTAGTCATCAATATTATGCTCTCTCCTCAAACTCATTTTCTCATATTCAGGTGTATCTGGCTCAGAATTTCCTTTCAGTCCAGTTAAAAATGTCAAATTTGTAATTTCATCCTGGTATGTTCACACTATAATTCAGCAGTAGAGAGGACTACTCTGTTTCTAAAATGTTGTATTTCATGTTCTGTCTACAACTTTCCCTATTACCTGCTATTGATGACTGTAGCAACCTAGCTTTATCAGTTGGAGTTTTAAACTAGAAGCAGTTGGACTCTTCAAAGCTTTGAAATAGGTGAGTATGACCTAAATAGATGTAGCACTATTCTACCAAATTGCTTGAGCTCTTCAACCTTACTCATTTTTATATCTATGTAGCAAATTGTAAACATGAAGTAGCTATTAGCAACTCTCACTAGCTTATAGCACTAAGCAAGGGTGGGTCAGGGGATCACAGGAAGAAAATGGCTCACTGTAAGAATTTTTAAGATGATAATTTAAAATTGTGAGGTATATGAAATATCCACTTGTACTTTGTGAGAAAAGCAATAAATTGTTGTTTCTGGAGAACTGTTATTCTGAATTGTCCTCCCTAATTCTGAGTATAAATTAGTGGTAGGAGATACTTTTTTCTAATGCCTTTTCTGAGTGCAACTAAAAGAATGGGAAACTTGACAAAAAAACTGTACTTGAAAAATAACTAAATAAAATTAATTAAAAAAAAAAAAAGAATGGGAAACAAACCCTGGGCATATCACATCACAGGAAACAGAACTTGCACTTTGCATTCTGTGTTGCCCCTTCCTTCTTTATAGCAAACACATTCTAAATTTTACAATGAAAAAAAAAGTTATTTCTCTGCCTAGAGATAATTTTATCTCCTGAATTTAGTTAATTTTCCCCTCAACATTTCATTAAAAAAATATCATATAAAGCAATAAGTTGAAATTTACAGTGAACACGGATAAACCCAGTATCCACATCTTCTGAAATTCTTTAAAAATATATTTATTTATTTATTTATTTATGGAGAGAGGGAGGAGAGAGGAAATCACCAATGTGTGGTTGCCTCTCCAGTACCCACAAATGGGGACCTAGCCCACAACCCAGGCATGTGGCCTGACTGGGAATCGAACTGGCAACCCCTTGGTTTGCAGTCTGGCACTCAATCAATTAACTGAGCCACACCAGCCAGGACCGTCTTTTGAATTTTTTTTTTACAGAATGTTTATTTTGATTTTTTCTAAAAATATCAGGAACTGTTAAAAATAAGCTCAATATTTTGCCATACCAAAAACAACACAAGTAAAAGTAACATTTAGAAATCATGTTTAACCTTACAGAAACATGTTTTAGGGTAGCAAGTTTAACAGTCTTCCCTCCATAGAGCAAAACAAGTTTACTGAACCAAAACACTGAGGTGGACTTTTTAAAACTGACAAAATTTTTGAAAAGAAAAACAAAAGCATTCTTTTTTAAAAATTTTTATTTATCTTTAGTAAGGGAAGGGAAGGAAATTATCAATGTATGGTTGCTTCTGGTGCATCCCCTGCTGGGAACTGACCTGCAACCCAGGCATGTGCCCTGATTGGGAATCAAACCGTGATCTTTTGGTTCACGGGCCCGTGCTCAATACACTGAGCTACACCATCCAGGGCCCACCTTTTGAATTTTTTACATCTAACTTAGTACTACATGAAGGGTTTATGGTGCTTGATTGGTGTGCAGTAAGAACAAAAAGATTTTAAGATAAGGATCTAATTTTGTTTTCTCAATGAATAAATTTGACGACCTTACTAAATTATTTAAGTGGCTCCTGGCTGATTTCATTACTTTGCTCAGCCAATCAACAGTTTATCTAATATAATCACAGAACAAATCTGTCACTGAATTAACTCTAAGCTTTAATGAATTAACAAGTATATTAACCATTTGCAAAGGAACTTCAGAACAACTTGTTATATTTTTTAGGGTATCATCATGGGCCTCTGAGAGCAAAGTGGATTTTTGGTAGCAACCCAAAAATCTAAATGAGCCCATTCAGATCCAAATCTGACTCACATGATCACTGCAAAAAAAAAAAGTCATAAATTAATGATTTCCCTGGGTGTTCCAGCACAGGCCTCACGACATGCAACAAGTACTCTAAGTGTCAGCCCCTTTAAGAATACATTTTGCTCTGCTCATATGCCATTCCATTTGCTGGGAAAAGCCTTGAGACAGGTTCAAGCACATGTAAGAACTTAATATATGATAAAATTGGTATCAGAAACCAGAAACAATGAGAGATATACTACATATACAGTCATGGGAACACTGACTGACCACCTCAGAAAAAAAGAGATTCTAAATTTTCATCAGTATTTCTCAGATTTCAAGCATGAAATCTCCTTCAGAAAAAAAAATGTCGCAATACCTAAAGGTTAACTTAATATATTTTTATTTTCGTATTTTTTGTATTTGTACCAACATAAAAATAGGTATACACTTTGTTTATAGTTCTCACATAACAATAAAAGCTAAAACATTTACCAATTAAAACAGAGCCAATAAAATGCAAATTAACCACCTTAAAATTTTAACAAATGATGCTACTTTGCTCAGATAAAAAATAAATCAAAAAAATAAAATAAATCACAAGTATTTGGTTTAACAGTAAAAAGCTGCAGTTTCATATCCCATTCTGTTTTTAAATGGCTTCTGGATGTTTTTAATTAATTTATCTATCTTTATTTTTATATTTATCGGGTAAGAGGGAGAGAAACATCAATGTGAGAGAGAACTATCAATCAGCTGCCTCTTGTACACACCCAGACAAATGCCCTGACCAGGAATCAAACTGAGGACCCTTTGCTTTTCACGATGACACACACCCAACTGAGCCACACAGGTCAGGGCTGAATACTTTTATTTTAATAATAATAATGATAAAAACACTTGTTTACACAAGTATTTTGTTCAAACTGGTATTGAAAATTTAAATCTTTTTCTCCTTTCAAGGGAATCAGAACAGAAAATTAACCAAACCTATCAAATGCCATTTTAAAAAGGTGTGAATTGACTGCCTAAAAAAATTAACAACTCCTTTATTGAAACCTGCATTAGTCACTATTGAATCCAACTAGCTTTAGAATTTGGAAAGAAACATTCTTTACTATTTATTTGCTATTATGCTTATTGCTATCGAACACTTGAGTTACTCTGTGTAGGAGCCTCACAACACAATGGTACTAGACTGTTAGGTACAGACATCCTGAGTTAAATGTAAGATCCTGTCAGGTATATCATGTGTACAGCAACAGTACACCCTCACTGTTCTCATTCTCATGTACTCTGTGATTTGCAACTTCAACAGTTTGGTTTTTTTTCAAATCACATTTTAATTTTGAATACTTAACACTGTTGTTGATGTGCATTTCACTTTCTTCATGTTTGCTAAGAATATGTGATAAATGCTGCCAGTCTCTGCACCCATTCTCATTCTTCAGTTGATTTTTCCCTTCTCCAAAAAGTTTGCAATATAGACAAAACACAGAATCTTTTGAGGTTGAATAAAGTAACCAGGATCTAGTGGTTTTTTCACCATTTGGAAGAATTCGTGTATAATAAGTTTCTGAAAACTTCCTTCCTGTATTGTCTTTTGGAAAGTTAAAATTTCTTACTTGAGGTGGATCATTTTCAACAAGAATATTCCGTTGTTTAATATTCAAAACTCGGGGCCATGAGCCTGGATCTGTAGAAAGCACAACTGCTCGGGTGGAATCTTCTGATTTTTTCTCTTCCAGTTGCTCTTGAAATGTATCAACTATAGTGGACACAGAAGCAGGTAAATTCACATCCTGTCTGGTTAGTGATGCATCTGTGCTGCACTCTGCTGATACCTGTGACTCTGAAGTCTTTTCCTTTTTTTCTGGTATTCCCTTTACTTTTTCCAAAAGTATATTAAATGACCCATCTAATTTTCTTTCATTTTCTTCTCTAACAGTGTTCCTTTTTCTGTTTTCTGGTATGGACAATTTTTTTGATTTTGTTTCTAGCATCTAGAAAGAAAGAAATTATAATTTTATCTTAAAAATGGTAACACTAAAAAAAATTAGTATATGTAAAAATGCCTAGTAAGCAATGAAAAGATGCTCATCATTAGTCATGACAGAAATACAAATAAAAACCAACCCCTTCCACTTCATGTCCTCTAGGATGGCTATAATATCAAGACAGGTATTGGCAAAGATATGGAAAAACAGGAATCTTCCTAAGGTGATGGTGCAAATTTAAAATGATTATCTGCTCAGAAGAGTTACGAAATACCTCAAAAGTTAGAGTTACCATATATGACCCAGCAATAACAAATGTAAACACATGTCCACACAAAGATGTGTATACAATAGCCAAAAAGTAGAAACAAGTAAAAAATCCATTATGGTGGATAAATTAAAATGTGGTATTATGCATACTATGGAATATTATTTGAGAATAAAAAATATAGCAAAGATATATCTATAACATATATGGACCATTCAACAGGAAATACATGAAAACCAGTCACAAAGTACCACATATTATATGACTCTATTTAATAAAATGATTATATTATCTATTTTGGAGTTGATAAAATAAAAATGCAAAATAAAGACAAAAGAGAACAAAGATGTATACAATGTGACTGGCAGCCTGGCAGCTGTATATAACACAACTTGAACAACGTATATAATGGAGCTTAAACAGAGCTGGCATGCTCTCCCTCCAGGAGCCCACCTGTGCTTTTCCTTTCTCCCTCTTCTCTCACAGGCACACATCTCCTGAACTGTAAGAAATCCCATCTGAAACTACAGGAGAAGCAAAGGGCAGCTGCAGTGCATCCAGGGCTAATACCCTGTACCTGGCTCCAAGATCCCCTCTCCTCTGACTTTGTTAGCTCAGAAGGGAGCTAACGGCAACCCCGCCCAGGCTCCCTCCTGTTGCTTCTTCTGTCCTGAGCCCTTCCTTGTTCCAGTGTTCCCAGCTTTCATAAACACAGTCTCAAAATAAAACCACCTGCTTGATTTAATTTTGAAAGCAATGTAGGGTAGCAGGGAAGTATTAAAAAAAGAAGTGACATGACCAAATCTGTACCTTATAATATAAAGAACACTTTGACTGTAATATGTATATCCAACTGTAAGAAAGACCAAACTGTACAGGGACAGTCAGGAAACTGGGGTTATGCTGGCAAGAGGATGGAGGCTGCGTCTGGGATGACAGTAGAGACAGGGTAGATTCCAGAGATATTTATGAAGTAGAATGTGGATTAGTTGATAGCTAAGTGACTTTGGAGGCTGAATGGGAGGGAGATGCAGAGAAAGATCCTAATATTCTCAGAGCAGATGACTCCTTGGCATGATCTCAAAGAACTAACCAAAGAGGATCATAGATATGGAATATTTCTCATAGTGATCCCATCATCTCCACCCCAGCTCAGGCATGTGACTGGATGGATGATGGAATGAATCATTTACTAACAAAGGAAACAAATAAGGAAAGCAGGTTTAGAGTTTCAGTTTTAGATGAAGTTCGAGGTATGTGTGAAACATTCAAATGAAGATTATAAATGGCCTGAAAATTTAGAAATGTGATCTTCAGGTATTTTTTGAAGTCATCAATATATATTAACTGATACTGTGGGAGTAAAGAATACTATACTAGAACACACAGAAAAAGAAACAGAGAACTGTTGGGAACAGAGTGCTCTGCCTGGTTTCAAAAGCTATAACCTTCCTTGGCTAAGGCTGAGTAAAAATGCCTTAAGGGCATAAGCAGGTAAAGAGGCAAAACGTATCCTCTCGCAGCACAGCCTCTGCCCTCTTTACTTCACCCTGCTTGGCCCCTGGAGGATGGATGGACAGTCAATAACGGGTAAGATTGCTCAAGGAAGAAACAGTCTAAGACAGGCGGTTGCACAGGGGTCATCAGGGAAGGATTTAGGGGATTGTGGAGGAGGGACAAAAGACCCTCGCCCCTCCACTTTGTTATAGCCTAAATCTTCATTCTATTTGTAGAGTCCCCTAATCTCTTGGCTGTCTTACTTCCCCCACCTGACTTAAACCTAAAACAATGCAGGAGGTCGGTGCAGCACTGTGCTGGAACAGGCAGTTTGAAGGCAGGATGGATCAGGCCTAAGAATGCATAAAATCCTGTGAAACTTGTTTTGCTAAGAATGCCCTCAATTTAAATGTTAAGCATAAAGTGAGTTTGTTTCCCAAAGTTTTATGGCCCTTTGGCTTCACTCTATTTATCTGACCCTGACTCAGAATAAGCCCTTATAGTTCTTTGATTGTTATCTATTCCTGGACCATTACTGCCTGACAATGATTGATGAGCTTTACATATAAAAGCCCTGTATTCCTATGCAAACTAAACCCAGTAAAAGCCCACTGAGAAAGAGGTTGAAGGCCCTTCTCCTTTGGGAGATTGGGTACCTTTCCTCCCCAAGCAGATCATGTCTTGGTAGATTTATTCTCATCTGTGGCGGCTAGAAGGGCTCTGCAGGATGGAGCTCCCTCACAGAAAACCAGGGACTGAAGTGTTACTTTTACACAATCCAAGCCCAGGTCAGGTGTTACCTATTTCCTTCCTGAGTTTCCCATGTTATAATTCTCAATGGGTGGGCCACTTCCCAGCTAGATGATCTTGGGCAAGCCAGTTACTTAATTATCTAAGCTTCAGTTTCCTCTCACTAAAATGAGGACATTAACTGCACTTATTTAGGGAAAACTTAAGATGACTAAATGTGTAAATACATGAAAAGCTGTATCTGGCACCACAGTAAACTTATGTTGGCTATCCTTACTGGCATATAGTCATACGAGGATACTCGTGATTAGGTGACAATTACTTAATAAAGTCTAATAGAGAAAAACTGATGACAAAAAATACAAAGGTGGTTGTTTTAGCTACTCATTGGTACAGGTTCATGAATTCTGTGCTGTATACTCTAGGCTGAAGGTCAAAGTGTCTTTCCCCATCCATATCACTCAGGTTCTCTCTCCAGGGGTACACATCTGAGATTCCTTGAAAATCGAGTTCCAAATTATTTCTGTGCTCTACTGCATTATTCTGTCAAGTGAATATTTTTACTGATGATCTAGATAAAAACTGAAGCCAAATAAAAGACAGGTGATAGGCACCAATTAATTAAATCCTCTAAAAATGGTAGTGGGGAAAATCACTGGAAAGAAAGATACCAAGATGGAGAGAAGTACATTTAACGGAAGACCATTTCACTCTCGAAAGTGTCCCAGTGAGATGGCTCAGTCATCTCACATATAAAGCTAGTTATGCTGAGACCTCTGAATTCAATCACAAATAGATCCTGCCTCAGGGGACTTATAACTTATTTTGGGGGGATGAGGTACACATTTAATCAAATGATTATATCATGCACTAATTAAGGTTTCTAGTGTGAGGTCAAATCTAGCTATGATTATGGCTAAGATGTTTTCTCTGAACTTCATTATCTTTAACATATTGTACAGCTTTATTTACATAATCAAAATTGAGTATACGTTTAGTAAAAAGCATCAAGCTAGTTAAACAACAATAGTTTCCTTTCCCCCCTTTCCTGTAAGTTAGCCACTTTGAAAACATTTAACTGATTCTTGGGTGTTTATTTCCAAATATCAAAGTAAAATGCCTGCTTATCTATGTACTAGTTTTTCCTCCTCGTTTTATGTTATCATCAGTTGAATCCTCAATGAGGATGACAGGAATTTAGATCTCCTTCTTAAACTGTGCTTATTACTGCACACTCACCTTCCTGCACCTACTTATCCTTTGGTTATAAGACTTCGACATTGGCACTTCTGATGTCTTGGGCCAGTTAATTCTGTTGTGGGGACTGTGCTGGCATTGCAAGATGTTTAACAGAATCCCTGGCCCCATCTACCCCACGGCTGTAGCACCAGCAACCCCACAGTTGTAGTAAAAAATGTTTAAGATGTCCTGGCTGGTGTGGCTCAAACCAAAGGGTTGCTGGCTCAATTCTCAGTCAGGGTATGCGCAAGAGGCAACCCTTTTCCCTCCTCTTCCCTTCTCTAGAATCAATTCAAAAATGTTTAAGACATTGCCAAATATTCCCAGGGGGACAAATCATCCTTGGTTAGATCACTGGGTAAGGTCAAGATTAAGTCCATGCATTTCATGACTGAAATTTCAGTTTTTCCTTAAGGTATTTTTTTTTAAAAAAAAAAAAAAAGATTTTATTTTTAGAGAAGGGGCGAGAGGGAGAGAAACATCAACGTGTGGTTGCCTCTTGCACACCCCCTACTGGGGATATGGCTGGCAACCCAGGAATGTGTCCTCATTGATAACTGAACCTGGGACCCTTTGGTTCACAGGCTGGAGCTTGAGCCACTGAGCCACACCACACCAGGCAGGGCAGAAAAATGATAATTTTTTAACCTTTACTTTATTAAATACACAAAATTAACTTGAGATAGATGACAGACCTAAACATAAAGGCTAAAACTACAGTGCTTCTAGATGAAAGTAAAGGTAAGTATCTTCATAATCTTGGTAGGCACAGATTCTTTAAAATAAGACACAAAAAGTATTAATCAGAGAAGGAAATAGTAAACTGCAGTTTGTCAAAATTAAAAATTTGGACTTTTCATAAACATTAAAAAAATGAAAAGATGTAACACTGCCCACAAGAACATCTTCCCAATACATTGATTTTATTTATTTTTTAAGGAGAAGGGAAGGGAGGGAGAAAGATACATTGATGTATGAGAGAAGCAAAGATCAGTTGCCTCTCATCTGCCCCCAGTGGGGACCTGGCCCGCAATGCTGGCACGTGCCCAGACTGGGAATCAAACTGGCAATCTTTCGGTTCACAGGTCAGTGCTCAAACCACTGAGCCACCCTCGGAAGGACTCACTACATTTATTTTATAAAAGATATGTATCCAGAACACACAAAGAATTTCTGTAACTCAATAATACAAAAACAACCTAATTTTAAAAATGGCTGAAGACTTCTGGTAAAGATAGTGGCATAGGTAAATATGCCTTTCCACATTGAACCACCACCTCAAAATTACAGCTAAACTATAGAAATTACAGCTAAACTCTCAGAAATTAAGCTGAATGGAAGTCCTATAACTATGGAATTAAAGAAGAAATCAACTACTGAATTAAAGCAGAAACCACACCAAGACTGGTAGGAGAGGCAGAGACGTGGAATGGGCTGTTCCCACACCTATGTACAGTGAAAATATCAGGAGAGATAACAGGAGCAAGGGGGTCTGGTCCCAACCTGCCACTAGGGTCCCCAGCAAAGGGTTCCAGTGCCAGGAATATAAATCCCCGTAATCTCTGGCTATAAATCCAGCAGGAATTGAGGCTGTGGAAGACAGAAATTGGAGTCTCTGGCAGGTCCACACACAGACTTACTTCCATTCACTCCCTCTGAGCTCCAGCATGGTGGAAGCAGGTTGAAAGGTATCAAAGACATACAAGGAGAAATTGAATTGTCTGGCACCAGGGTAAGAGGTGGAGACAGCTTTCTCCCAACAGAAGTTCCAGCAGAGACCATCATTCCTTTTCTAAGCCCTCCCCCAGTGGTTTGATTTCTTAGTTTTCTAATCCAAGTGGGTTGCATGTCATCCTGTAAACTGAAAGGTCACTGGTCTAATTCTCGGTCAGGGCACATACCTGTGTTGTGGGCCAGGTCCATGTTTGGGGCATGGTGAGAAGCAACCAATCAATGTTTCTCTCCCTCTCTACCTCCTTTCCCCTCTTTAAAATAAATCAATAAAACCTTAAAACAAAACAAGCTTGCTTAGAACAATCTATTTCAATACTCACTTGACATGGGACAGCTCGATGACAGGCTGACAAAAAGTGAGACTAAATGAGATTCTAAGATCAATCTGGGTAAGGTAAGCTAACAGGTAGAAAACTATTGTATATCCGATCATCTAAGACTTATTAAAAGAATTACCTGTTTATATTCATTAACACAACTCTGGCAGCAGAATCTTATCTGCTGGCCATCAACCACCCGAACACTGTTTCCAGATCCTTTAGTGGGCAGGTACTCTCCACACTGTTCACAGCAATTCATTATCAGACCATTAGCCAACCTGTACTTATTAAAGCAGTGGTTACTGCATAGTTTATGTGTCACATTATTAACGCTGACTTCATGGCGAATCTAAAAGAAAAATGAAAACTTATCAAATAAACGAGCCACATTAGCAAAGTAAGCAATGAGGTAAGTAGTTTCTTCAATAAAAACAAAGAAACTATTATCTCAGAGGAAAAAATATTCAGGAAAAAGACTGAAAAGCCCATTTCCCCAGTCTTTCATTTTCATCTTTGATTTCTTTGTAAAATCATTCTTGGATTTTATAAAGAAAATAAAGATTCATAAAACAAAAAGCAGTAAAATCAGTAATAATTTCCCCAGAGACACAAGCATTCTAAAAAAAAACAGGCCTAGAAAATTTTGATACCACCTGTTTAAAACAAATGGATTTAGAATTCTTAGTATTATAAGCTTAACTGCCCTAGAAAATTTGTGGAAGGGACTAAGGGAATCATTATTCCATATTCAGATGGTGTCGATATATATAAGACTGCTTCTTGCTTTGCTCAGCTCTGTGGTAACTGAGATAAAATTGTGCCCTGGATTTGCATGGCTCTGGGACAAACAACACCAAACTCAGTTACTAAGGACTGTGTTAAATGAGGAAAGCCTGCATGCACATTTCTTCTTTCAGCAACTGGAAGGATGGAAATACCATTTAAGGAATACAAAGTTATCAACATACTTTCAGTCCACATGTTCTATATGTTCTTGCACCAGGACTGGTTGCTTCCTCCATGTCCTGAATAATACACTTTTATTTAGCGTTTCTTGTAAGAACAAAACTCACCATGTAACTACTGCTCTGTGGACAAATATAACCAACTCCATAAAAATAGATGTATATTTTTCATACTATACAAACAGGACATTTGTTTATAAGATAGTTCTCACATATCCTTATTCTTTGCTTTAACTTCACTGTCCAGATTCAGGACATGTGCATTATGTATGTAGATGGCACAGCATAGAATAGCACTTAAAGAGTTAAAGTTATCCTAGATAATAACCTAAATAAGATAAGAATTCAGACCTCTGTTAGTTTACTACAGATTGTACATCTTGACTTGTTCAGAATTCTTTTCCTGAGACTCTGGTTTTCTTCGTAGGGAGACACACAGTATGCACTACAGAAATCCTGGAAGGGCTGGCTCGGCTGCACTTGAGGAATATTAGCCCTTTTTGCAGGTGCATCTCTGAAACAGGGATAAAGACAATTTAAGAATGCTGTATTTTATTTTCAAATATAAAACAATTAAAGGACATTCTTCATTTTTTCATAATCTAATCACTAGGAATCAAGTATAATTTTTGGATTCAGCAAAATCCACTGTTTGGTTGCATCACTAAGAGTTTCTAAATAAAATGGGAAGAGAAGATTTGGAGGTAAAAAATATTTTACATCAGAAGAACCTTGCTACAGACTGTGATGATTTTTAGAAGCATTCAAAAAGGGTGGTAGCAACTTGGTAGAACTGAGGTAGAAGATGGGAGAGGGTCTGAGGTAGAGTCAGTGGTGGGGAGTGGGTCCATTTATTTCCATATCTACACTCCATTTTCCTGTCAAGAGTAAGGACAGTACAAATAAGCCCAGAGCTCTGACAAACTCTTAAGATAACTCAAACTCAATAAAATTGTAGACATCTCTACCCATGAATTTATGCAGCTCTCCAGTTACATTCAGAACACGTATTTACACTGTCATTATCAAACACATGGAGCCACGCTGGAAAGCATAGCTTACTTTTTACACGTTACATTGCGTGTCTTTGGAGTACGCTTATGAGAGAAGGAGGAAAGGCAGGTGGTAGAACAAAAGAGGTTAGCTGATCCTTTCCGTTGATAAGCTGTCTGTCCTTTCTGTAAAGGATTTTTGCAGTGTGCACAGGTGATTTTAACTGGTTTAATAAGTTGCTGTTGGGCAGAAGGCTGGAAAATCTGTTTAGGAAGCGAGGCCACTGGTGCTAAAGAATCCACCCCTGGCTGTTTCTGATTTCGAGGAAATGATGCTGACTGGGAAATCCAAGAATCTTAAAAATAAAACAGAAAAAAATGTCATGGAACAATTCAAAATTCACATCAGATTTTTTTTATATTTAAAATGTTTAAATACAAAATTTTTCATTTTTAACATTTCATTTTGTACAAGTCTAAGAGAATAGTGAAGCAGCCATAGAAGCAAATGGTTAAGGCCAGAAAGCCTTGTTATCCAACCCCAGGGGAACTATTCACTTTGTATTCTAACCATATGATACTCTACCTTGCTAAGGATATAAATGGTGAGCCTGGAATTGTGCTATGTGGTAGACATCTCTTAAGTCAGTACTGCCAGATTTAAAAGGCATGTCCTGAGCTTACTAGGTTGTGCAAGTAGTGTATTAAACTGTGTCTGTGTTCAAGTAAAGCCTTATGTTTGGTACCAGGGCACTTGCAAAAAATATTAGCCATTTTTCTTTCTCTCAGAACAAGATATGCATTATAAAATTAAGCAAATATACAAAGATAACTAGAGTGTGGTATATGATATCCATTTTTGTAACAGCATTCCCCCCTAACATTTTATTATGAAAAACTCAAAGAATATAGAGAAGCTGAAAGAAGTTTACATATGGGAACTCCCTCCCATATGCTCACCAAGTACATTCTAATGTATTTTACAATTTTTTTCCAGTTAAATTTTCTGAGGGTAACATTGGTTATTAACATTATATATGTTTCAGGCATACAAGTTTATAATACATCTGCATATTGCATTGTATACTCACAACCCAAAGTCTAGTCTCTTTCTGTCAACATGTATTTGACACTGTTTACCCTCCCTCTACACTATTTTACTTTTTGCTTTATCACATCCTTCTATCTATTCATCCCTCTAAATAATCAACCCATCTTCTTTTATGTATTTCTTTAAATTTTTAAATTTATTTTTAAAGAGAGGGGAAGAGAGGGAGAAAGACAGGGACAGAAACATCAGTGCCTCTCACATGCCCCCTACTGGAGACCTGGCCCACAACCCAGGCATAAGCCATGACTGAGAACTGAACCAGCAACTCTTTGGTTCACAGGCTTGTGCTCAATCCACTGAACTATAATAACCAGGGCTATGTATTTCAAGTAAAATGAAGACATCAATACATTTTTCTCCAAAATACTTCAAAATACATGTAATTTAGACATAATAGTTTAATGCGAGTCTTTTCACAATTACTTCCTAGCTTTCTAAAATATTATTTCATAGGCATTAATATATGTAATTAGGAAAGATTTCACACAGTGAAATCTACTCCCTACCCCCACTCCATCATGTACTACTGTGGCTTCAAAATGGTACAATATTAAGTACAGGTAATAGTGCTTTTCAAGCTTTAACATGCATGAGATAACTTGGGAATATTTTTTAGAGATTCTAAATCAGTAGGTCTTGGGAGGACCTTGAGATTCTGAATTTCTTGGGCGATGATGAAACTTTGAGAAATGAGGCTCTCCTCAAAAATAGCTTTTTTAAAAAAGATTTTATTTATTTATCTTTAGAGGGGAAAGGAAGGGAAGAAGAGAAGGAGAGAAATACCAATGCATGACCGCCCCTCATGTGTCCCCTGATGGGAACTGGCCTGCAACCCAGGCATGTGCCCTGACCGGGAATCAAACCGCAATTCTTTGATTCACAGGCCCGCACTCAATCCACTGAGCTACACCAGCCAGGGCCAAAAATAGCTTTTGTCATCAACATGAGGCCTATGGTCCCCTCCACCTATTATATAGCTCCAGAGGCCTTTTATAATACTTCCAACACTAATAATTCTATTTTCACTTCTAAATTCCCACCCACTGCTTCTAATTTTCTTCATCCTATTTCCAGACATCTTCTACCTTATAGTCAAAACCAAAAACAGAACAAGTAACAAAGGAATTATTTCATTCCACAGGATGACATACTAGTTAATATGGAGTATATGCCAACAAAGGATTTTTTATCACCAAGTAATCAGAAAGGAAGTTTCTTTACTGCTAACTTTTCCTTCTTCAATTGAAGCCATACCTTTAGAAAACAAAATCATTCTGAACCACTCCAGGAAAAGAGAAATTAATATTTACCTATAAAATAAACATACGTTGCACTGACTGGGTAGCTCAGTTGGTTAGAGCTACCCATATGCCAAAGTTGAGGGTCTGATCTCTGGTCAGGGCACATACAAGAAGCATCAATGAATATATAATAAATAAGTGGAATGACAAAACTGATGTTTCTTCCTTCCTCTCTCTAAAATAAATTAAAAAATAAACATAGATTGCATCCTGGAATGAATCTTCTCTGAATATTATCTGGATAAGAAACTATATTTATTTATTTATTAAATTATCTTTTTAAAAAGATTTCATTTACTTATTTTTAGAGAGAGAGGAAGAAAGGAAGAGAAACATCAATGTGTGGCTGCCTCCTGCATGCCCCCAACTGGGAACCGGCAACCCTTTGGTTCTCAGGCTGGCACCCAATCCACCGAGCCACAGCAGCCAGGGCAAAACTGTATTTAATAAACAGAAAGATAGTCAAGTATCATATGATTTCTCCTCACCAGTGGTATGGGAGAAATAAGAAACATGAATACAGCTTTCCGAAGAACCAACAAGATGGCGGAAGTGGAGCAGAAGAAGAAGTGGACCTTCTGCAAGTTCACCTACCATGGCGTGGATCTCGATCAACTACTTGACACTTGACATGTCTTACGAGTAGCTGATGCAGCTCTACAGTGCCAGGCGGCAGCTGCGGCCGAACTCCGGCCTGCGGAGGAAGCAGCACTCACTGCTAAAGCTCCTGTGTAAGGCCAAGAAGGAAGTGCCGCCCATGGAGAAGCCTGAAGTGGTGAAGACACACCTGTGGGACATGATCATCCTGCCAGAGATGGTGGGCAGCATGGTGGGCGTGTACAATGGGAAGACCTTCAACCAGGTGGAAATCAAGCCGGAGATGATTGGCTACTACCTGGGGGAGTTCTCCATCACCTGTAAGCCAGTGAAGCACGGCCAGCCTGGCATTGGGGCCACCCACTCTTCCCGCTTCATCCCTCTCAAGTAGCCAATAAAAGCACGGAAGGAAGGAAGGAGGGAGGGAAGGAAAGAAAGAAACTTAAACACAAAAACATTGGGCTTTTTAATTTTGTGGAGTTATCCATATGTAAAGGGCATAGCTGTCTATAATTATGGAAATGATACATCAACTTTACTGCTCAAACACTAATTAGATCTTGACATTTTTTTTCACTTTAGCTTTGGTGCATACATAAATAAAGCAAGTATTGCCTTTGTTTATGCTGTATTATTTAATTCCTCCTAATTTCAAATTTCTTATTTCATCAAGTTTTTATTTTATTTTTGGTATTAGTGTGGCCAGATTAAACTTAAAGAACTCCCAAATTCCTCCAAGCCCTATTCCTGAAATACATTTTAAGAGGTCTAATATATTATTTAATCCAAGTCTCTCATTATATGCAAAGAAAATTAAGACCTACAAGTCAGGTGATTTGCTCAAAAGTCCGATAAGTAGTAGACCCACTATTTGACTTTTAGGTACTCTTCATTTATTCCTGCATTTAAACTCTTCTGCCTCAACAACCTTTCGGTATTTTTTAAATTTTAATTGTTGTTCAAGCAGTTTTCTGCCTTTTATCAGTATTTTTTTAGTGTTGGGTCTGTTGGTGAAAAGTTCTTTCAGTGCCATGGTGGGGTTTATTTTATTCCAGTTGGTAATGGATAACATGTCACACACAGTTTATAAATCCTACATGCAAGTCTCAAGTGAAATTTTTGTTTGCAGACTGTATTTGCATGACCAACACCCGGATAAACACAGAAAATTTCCAATAGCTCAGAAACCTTCCTTAGGTATTTTCTCACTCAATAACTCTAATTTCCCATAGGCCATCCCTATTCTGACTCCAAAAACTGATTTTGCTTTATATTGAGCTTCACATGCATGAGACTATATATGTACTCTTTTGTGCCTAATTTCCATAACCCAACATCTTTCTGTCTTTCTTTTTTAAAGATGTTATTTTGTAATATAGAGGAGAAGGGAGGGAGAAAAACAGATGTGCCAGAGAAACATCAATCAGCTGCCTCTCCCATCTGGCCTGCAACGAAGGCATGTGCCCTGAATGGGAACCAAACCAGCAACCTTATGCTTTGCGGTACGATGCCCATCCTACTGAGCCACATTAGTCAGGGCATCATCTCGTGTCTAAGGTTCATTCAACAAATGTACATAGTAGTGCATTCTTTTTCACTGACTGGAGTATTCCAATGTGTGGCTAATAGCACTTAACCATTCTACTGTTGATGGATACTTGGAATGCATACAACTTTTGATTTCTGTACTTGTCATTTAATGGTTTCTTAAGTATTTATCACACTCTGAATTTTTCTCTTCATTTTAGAAAGTCTGAGCTTGTATTTTTGCCTCATTTCTTTCTTCTTCTTTCTGGGACATCAATTACATGCCCTTTTCATCAAGTACCATATAGGTCTCTCACATTTCTTTAAATCATCACTGGTGCCCAGTAGGTGTGGCTCAGCTGGTTGGAGGGTTGCCCAGCATTCTTGCTGGGAACTGAGAAAGGTCACCAGTTCAGTCCCTGGCAAGCTGCACATAGAGGCAACCGATTGATGTTTTTCTCACATCAATATTTCTCTCTCTCTCTTGCCTCTTCTCTATCTAGAATCAATGTATATATCTTTGGTTGAGATTTTTTAAAAACATTAAATCCTCACATGGGGATGTTTTCATTGTTACTTTTAGAGAGAGAAACATCAGTGTGAGAGATGCATCAATTGACTGCCACATGCCCCAAATGGGGATTGAACCTGCAAACTTTGGGTGTATGGGACCATGTTCCAACCAACTAAGCCACCTGGTCAGGGCTCTCATGTGCCTTTTTGTGTTTTCCACCTTTTTGGGTATGATCCAATCTGGATAATATCATGATATAACTTCAAGTTCACTCATCCTCTCTTCAGCTGGGTCCCATCGTGAAGT